TTCTGTGCCTGCCTTCTTCCTGACTGACTGTCTTTTTGAGTCGCTGCTTCAAGGCTTAAAGAACTTGACTGCTTGACAGATTGTTTGACTCTTTGACTTCTTCACTCTTGTTTTTGAAGCGAATCATTGGCTGGATTGATCTGTGCTCCTCATGCTCCTATGGGGAGTGATACTCCCCTGCCCTGGTCTCACTTTCTTTTTTCTGCTTCTCAGACACAACAATCTTCCCCTAGGACTACATTGCTGCCTTGAAACTTGTCTTTCTTTTATCTATCTTGATTTATTTTATGTTTATCCTTCCCTGCTCTTCATGAAAGGTTTAATTTTTGTTGATTTAGTTTATTAGTGGATGCTCTCACAGTTTGGAAGACACATCCTGCAAGGGCGGTGCACCTGAGGCGGAGAGAATAATTCTTTGTTCCCTGTGTCTACCCGTTCCTGAAGGATGAGAGTGTTAGGGAATGACAGCTCTTTGTAACCTGTTTTTTTCCCCTAGCTGTTTATCCAGGAGCTGTCTTTCCTCCTCCTATATGGTTTTCATTGAAAAAAGCAGAATTTGAGTGCTTGTGCTGAATGAGACAGGTGGTGCTCTGATCTTTCCATGTAGTCATCACTAGAATCTTAATGCAAAGAGAGCAACAGCCACATAAACATAGCCTGGGGTTGAGGTGTGCACTCTGAGCGTTAGATTTGCTCAAGCCCCTGCTATGACCCAGCACATCCAAAAGCAGTACCTTTGCGCTTGCCGTAAGCAATTGAAAGTCTAAAGAAAGGCATGATTAGCATGAAGAAACAGTAGCCTACAACCCTCTACGCACACCTTGGCAATATAATCGCCATTGGCTAGTACATTTTTTTTGTTTACTCGCCAGACTGATATACTATTTTACACGCACACACACACACACACACACGTTTACTTAGCTATCTAAATGGGGACATTACATAGACACTTTTTAACCTAAACCCACCCCTACCCCTCACAGAAAACTTTCTGCATTTTTACAATTTCAAAAGTAAAAAAAAACTTTGTTTACTTTATTTTTATAACAGTTTTACAAATGAGGACATCCACAAATTGAGGCTTTTGCCGATTTTGTCAGGTTTTGCTCAATTTTGGGTACAAATTTGTCCCCAAAATATGGTTAAGTAGGTACACACACACACACGCACATGATTCCACCCAATCAGCTTATCTTTGTAAAATGGAACAGCTTCTTAAATAACTGAATGTGCACTCTTAACTTCAGCCAATCAAGCATTATATTATGATA